TGCCGATAACTTACTGTCCACATCGTTCGTCAACGTCTTTCTCTAACGAAATGAATCAGGTTAAATACGCTTTTTATTCCTAGAATTCACGGACGTTCGAATCAATCAATACATATGTAGATTAATTATATTCAAGAATAACTAGAATTACAACCGGTGTAGTGATACTGACTCCGATTCGAAGATAACGCTGTTATGTCCATCGGCATTGCATAAATATTATTTATTTAGGAATGTATTCGCACGGTACACGATAGATAAACTTTTTCATATTACATTCCTTACTTTGTTAACGCCTTTCTATTTCCTTTATTAAGTTAGTGCTTTGGACCACCAATATGGAATGAAAGTTCTTGTTTTGTTAAAAAGGCAACTATAATGAAGCCTTAATATATAAATTAGATTAGGTTAGGTACACATCAGTTAGGTTAGGTTAGGTTCCGGCCGATCACATTATCAAGAGTACAAATGATTACTAAATTTAAAACAGTTCACTGCTTACTACAACTTATATGTTAAGTGTGTTAGGCTGCTAATTCTGGGGGTGGTAAATGGAAATCTGGTATACCAGTGTTTGTGAAGGGGAAGTGGGGAGTCGAAGGTTCTATAGCTGAGGCTATCAAAATTGGCAAACTCCGCAAGAAATTATTAGTGAGAATGGACGTATCTTTTTTCTTGTTTCCACTTGGGACTGTAGTAATTTGCTGTGTTTTGAACACAACCTTATTAAGTTACGAAATGCTTTATGAGTAGTACAGATGTAGTGAAAAGAGATAATCGAATAAAAGTACAGTGGTTTAAGGTTGCGTAGGTACGAATAAGATTAGGATCGATCGGCCTCATAACTGCCTGGTTGGAATTATATCTTTAAACACGCATCTTTGCTTTCCAAATTAAATTCTGCTTGTCTGCATCTCTTTCTATTACACATCAATTACTGTTGTTCTGTTGGTCTGTGTTTTGTCGGAGCTGCCTGCGACGCGCTGATGAGATCCAAAAAGATCGAAATCGCGATCCGCGTCTGGCAGTTTCGACAGAATACAGACCACTTCGAATTATTTTATTCGATTA